TAAGTTACTAATAAAGTAAAAATATTTAGATTTGATGCCAGGGTAAATTTTTATTTGTGGCAATGTAATGCCTTGAATCTGTTTTGCTGGGGCTGATATTTACATTTCCATTCCTGGTGCACTGTTAAGTAACTGAAAGAGAATATGCCTCAGGATTATGCTTATTGTAAAGAAAAAGCCAAAATGAGATTTAAAGTGTGCCAATGAAAATTGATAATTAGAATAATTCTCATTATTTGATTATAGCTTAAAAAAAAACCCCAGTGCTTCTCATGTAATGAGTCAATTAGTGACAGTTACATGAGGAGACTAGGATAGAGCAAGGTAGATGATTTGGGGAAACACGAGCTGTGATGATTGTACCTTACCCAACCTTTAGCAACATCTTAATGATTTGTGCCTTTAAGTTTTACTGGTAAGTAAATAAATCATCTGAATGTGAAATCTGTTGTTGTTGTATTACTTACCAAAATCATTTTTACAAAGAGTTTCCATTATGTCGTTGTCATCATCGTTTTTATTTTTGCAGGCTTCACAAACCTTTGGAGCTAGAAATGGGGAAAAAAATCTTTAGTAAGTTTGCTTAAAAGGGAACAGCAGGTGGCGTTTGTAAACAAGTCAAAGGGACTTATCCAGGCAAGAGAGGTTGTCCTGTATGCCCCTAGCTTGTGCCTCTTCTATAAAAGTAGGATCACTCATTCCTAAGACAGTTGTCCGTGATACTGATTTTTGGAGTAGGCAAAATGAGAACACTCATATACGCTCATGTATTGTTTGAAAAACAATGACTCTCTTTTTGAGAATTGTAGGGAGAGTGTTCCAGGGTTATGTGGCTACTATTTACCAGGACAGGTTCTAGCTTTTCAGTCTGAAAAAGTTATTCCCAAAGCCTAAAGAGAAAGCATCAAAAGAGCCAAAGACCCTTGAAGGACTTCGGAAAACGAGTATCCACAGAATACAACTAAAAGATTGTTCTTGTCAGCAGCAGGACACGTTGCTCCACTCTATTCAGCAGAGTTCTATGTCTCAAGGGAGTCATTTCAAGATTATTTCAGGTCTGGCCTGGGAGGCATGGCTGGCTAGTGTTGCTAGGATTACATATGGGCTGTTTCCAACTTGGAAACACACCTTACTAAATACAACAGCCAGCTGTAACTGGTTCTGTGTCACCTTGTGCCTTCTGCCAAGTTTGTGCTGGAGTAACTTTATTTCATTGTTACCTACAAGCTTCCTGGTGCAGGTTCTTCTTGCCCCTCTTTGCCTGTTTCAAATTCTCAAAACAAACAAACAAATACCTGTTCCTGGAGCTAATCAAAGATGAAGCCAAAATGTTTATGGGGTCTGACCAAACCTAGGAATTGTGTGCTACCACAATTATCAGGGGGACTCTCTGATTTCTTGGGGAAAGGAAAACAAAAAAAAAAAAAAA